TTGGAATGGGCTGCCCAGGGAAGGGGTTGATGCCCCATCCCTGGAGGTCTTTAGAAGATGTGTAGTTGTGGTGCTTAGGGACATGGTTTAGTGGTAGACTTGGTAGTGTTAGGTTAACAGTTGGACTTGATGATCTTAAAGGTCTTTTCCAACCTAAACGATTCAATGATTATATAATCCACATTTCATCTTTTTACCAGTTTAACAGTCTAGTAGTGCCAAGTTTAGATCAAATCTTGTATCTTGTCTATACGCTGGATAGGTCAAAGATTTGAAAGCTTTGAAGTTCTATACTGTTTCCATGAGAGCCCATTTTAAATGTTATTCTTTTTCAAAAGTGAAAAAAGTTTCCCTAAGAAAACCTTGAGCAATTACTATGGACGTAAGAAAAATGTAATTTTTTTTTTTTGACAGCAGACCAAGGAAAAATAGCAGTAATTGCCTAATGAAATAGTATTTTGCAATTGTCAAGGACAAGCCATTCCATATCAACTATTCAAGTGAAACAAATAGGAAAATGTTTCTTTGTTTGATAATGTTTCTTTGTTTGATAATAACATTGTATTGCTTTTGAACTAAGATATGAATTCAAAGGCTTATTCTTTAGTTTGTTGCCACATTAAAATTCTGGAGTGCTAGTTATTTAGCAATTTTCAGCATTAGTTAAAACGCAAAACTTTCCATACCGAGGAATATCAATGCATGCCTAAGTGTGACAAAGCATTTCTTGTTTTTTTTTTTTTTTTTCCAGAGGACAAAACCTAGGTCATAAACATCGATTCATTCAACCCTTATCTAAAATTTAGATGAGCACCTCTTAAGGCCTTTTGCTGCTGATCACATCTATGATAGATGCTTGCCCAGAGACAACAAAACTGATCTCAAATTGGACATGATTCAGCCATCAGAGGGCAGCACCTTCTAGCTACACCCCAGACTAATTCAAACTAAAATCCCTGCCACCACCAGGCACCGCAATCTGAAGATGGTTTTGAATGACTTCAGTGCCATGAAAAGATTGGAGAAATGATGTAGGGCAAACGGCAAGGTAAACCAGCATTATGCATGTTAGTTCCTTATGGAATAACTATCAGAAAATTGATGATGGTAAAACCCACTTTTCACTGAACATAGCTAAGCTGAGCATTTATGATCACCTGTAACATTTTGGAGACCAAAACTGCTATAAAGAGCTTTACATACAAAATTTGCTACAGTTTCTGAAGCTTTCCAAGAATTAATGAAGTGTTATCCTCATCCATTGTCAAAAAAAAAAAAAAAAAAAAAAAAGAAAATGGATATTCTAAATCCTACTCTTTTTCTGCAAAAACCTGCTTAAATACCTCTAAATTTCTTCATGTAACAAACCATTAATGATAAGGGCTTTCTCCATCTCCGTATTTAAAAAACAACCAAACAACACACTTTTGGGTTCAGCTTCCAACTTTCAAAATATTTTAGCTATTCACAAACAGGTATGGTGAAGCCTGATATTTTCATGATGGTAACTGGTAGCTAGATACACCTCACTCACCAAAGCTCCTTTCCTGTTTTATTAATTAAATGGGCAGCGTAATCCTGTTGGATCCTTTAAATATCCCAGACAACTTGAAGAAAAACTGTCTGAAGTTCTTACTATGTAAAGAACAGCAATTCAAAGTCTGCATGTAATTACTTATATTCTAGAACATTTAGGAAGATAAGATATCCATCTTCTATTGGTAAACCATGAAAATCGTAAAAAGCCCAACCTCCTGAACATTAAGTCTTGTTTTACATCATTTGACAAAATCAAAACAGATTCACCAATGTTCTGTTGATACTTGCAAAAATGTCATTCTAATGAAATCCAAAAAACAACTCTAGACAGTGCTGCAGCTTATAGCTGCCTTGCACACAAGGGGAGACTGCTGCGGCCAGTCAAGCAGTCATGCACGCTGCGAGGCTGCAAAATATTTCTGCAACTGTCATCATAAATGGCTCCCTGCAAACGTTCCCATATGAAAACAAAAAAGCTTCCACGTGGGTTTATAGACTCCTTACAGACACCTTCAGAGGTTGTCTCTAGGGTTACTGTTGGGTAGCAATAATGGTTCTGGTGTCCAAGTTGGACTACCTGGGAAAGCGACTTTGCTGCTAAACCTTTAGGGGCTCAGTTCTGCAATGTTATGAATACCCTCAGATAGAAACCTCAAGATCACCTTTCATCCTGAAGAATGCAAATACCAGCTAGCCCAGAATAAAGAACTTGCATGTGTGGATCAAGCAAAGGGTGGCAGAGTGAAGACAGAAGCCTGGTGCTGTACAGCACATGTTTATTATTTAGGATGACACTTATATGGGCAAGGTGGGGAGACAGAGGCTCACGCCCTGGGTTAGCAGCAACAAAAAAATCTCACTCAGTACCATGCAACCCTTCCGTATTTTTTCACGTTTGAGAAAGACCACTTAATTGAACCACTTTTGGTGAAAATATGTAACTGACATGTGCAAATTCATTTAATAAAATGATACTGATGTGGAATGTTTTTACTTAAAAAGCATTTATTTTTGGTAAAAAAAAAAAGGTTTGTCTTCCTCAAGACATCAGTTATCTTTGTTCATGTGGCTCTTGCAAAACTGCATGTCTAGATCCACGGAAATGGCAGCTAACAGCTTCAGAATTAAAAATGACATTGCTGTCATTCTCATTAATTTCTCAGGAAATCCAACTATTAAGGGGTCAGCGCGTTCTTCTAAAAAATTAGTAGTTTTACAGTGAACTCTTTTCATTTCATATTGAGGACAGCTAACAGCTCCTATTTTATATATAGTTATTTAATTGAACCCATTTGTTAACATTTTAGTATTCTTAAAGTCTTAATTTTTTCTTAGTCTGACATACCAGAGATACTCAGTTTGGTCCTCAATGATTTCTCTAACACATTAGAGAGACAGATGCAATGGAAAGCATCTTTATTAAAAGTCAGAAACTTTTTCCCATTAAGTGAAGACTACTCTTCTCAAAAATTCAAGTTATGAGTTGAACAGTTCTTACCACAAACAGCCTTACTAGCCCCTCATCCCAGCCTTAAGCTTTAACGTGAACTGGAGCTTCTTCCTACTCTCATTCAGCAAGTTCAAATCTACTTAGATTTCTGTCTCCAGCCAGAAACTGGCAATCCGAAAAAAATTAAGTTTAAACTTTAAATGAAACCACATTCTAAAGACATCACTATACATGAGAAATTTGGATCATTATTCAAGGCCACTTCCACACAAAGCAAAAAAGATAGCTCAAGGCCAATTCTTTTTCCGTTTGCTACCTTTATGTAGAATTGCAGTTGAAAGCATACTGCTTGTGCTATGAGTGCCACCCTTATTTAAGCAACAAGTGGCCTCTGTAGTCAAGAATAAAATATTGTTAGTTAGTAACATACTGTTAAAAGTACTTCCATCTATTTGATTCCCACAATGAAATCCATTTTAGGGTTTATATACTTGTTCACAAATGAAAAATCTTACAGCTATTCAAAATTTCTCCTGTTCGGTTGCTTGTTTTACAGTTCAATTTAAAAAAAAAAAATCTAATTGCATCAAAGAGCCTTCTCAGTTCTCATTATGCAAGCATAAATAATAAAATAAATGTCAGAGTGTGTAAGCCACTCTCTGTACTAGAAGTTCAAACTTGATCAAACTGTTGAGTACTTCATGAAACAACATATCAACAATTCCTAATTATATTTAATGAAGGACAGAGGAGATGTTCAACCAATTTTGGCAAGTGTAATTCAAATTAATGTAAATTTTTCAAGATTTTGCAAAAACCGAAAAGCTCCCAACCCCCGTATTTTGAAATTTTTAGAAAACACATTTTCTGAACTTGGTTCTACCTTAAGCTCTGCTCTGCCATCCATCTATACACAAACTCCCTTTCTCCAGCTCATCAAAGTATCTCCTATCATAGCATCTCCATTATTTCCTATCTAATATAATATTAAAAACTCATATTTTACTGCTACAGCTGCCTGTCTGTAAGCCAGCCTGGAAGCAATGTCCCTATACTTCTGTCAGACAGAAAAATTGCTATCGGCACAAGATTCAGTATCATTCACACATAATTTTAAAGCTTCATGAAAAAGCACTGGAACTCAATATTAGAACTGGGAGATGTATAATTTCATGAGAAGAGAAGCTTTAAGCATCAAGTTAGTTAGATTTCTATGACTTACTCTTAGGTAAAGCCTCTCTCTCTTTTCAGTTAAAGATTGACTAAAGTTTAAAAGCTCCCTAGAATGTTTCTGAAGAATTTAAAATAAAATATTATTACAAGAATTTGTGAACAACAGTGCAGAGGACAGGGGAATTTCAAGAACAGATTTTTAAGAGGAAAAAGAATTTCTACGAATGATGACACCTCTTTCTGCTAGAATAAATTTCTAACACCCAAAAAGGGTTTCTGGCCATTTTTACTTATTATTAATATGGTTTAATTTATTAATAATCACTCAAATATTAATAAAAGAGAAACTTTAATAAATCTGTTCTGAGCAGTCACCCAGGCACTTCTTACAGAGAACAATGAATTATCTATTTATGTAAAATAGACCAAAACCTAAAGAATCTAACCAGGATACAAGTCCAAGTATTAATTGCTTAGAAAGCCTAGCGCAAAAAAAAAAAGAATAAAATTATTGCATAGTACTTACCCTCTTGTTTCCTCTTCTTGTCCTTTTCCTCGTTGTATTTTAATCCACTGTTCCAACTGCAGCATTGAATTAGTTCTCTGCATAACTCGTTCAGACTCCATATGTGACTGAACTGCGTTGTGCTGACCTCCATCTCCAGTGTCTGCCAGCACAACACCAACAACTTTATTCTCAGACCCATTTAAATGAACTGGTCTGAAGTGTCCAGCCTGAATCGTGGTTATGGGTAAAGTCCTGTATTCGGATCCCAAAGGATTTAGCTTTACACTGTTAATTTTCGTTAATGGTTTATCTTGCCCAACTTTCTGGAATCCATATTTTTCAGCTTCCAAAGCTTTCTTCTCCTCATTTTTGTTCACTTCTTTGTTTTTCTGGTTATTTTGTGCCTCTGGCTTAATTAGCACCCGATGGTTTGAAATATTATTTGCCTCTCGAGGTGGTGTATTTTCAGTGGTTAACTTCTCTACTCTGGAAAGGAATATGTGACAAGCTATAATATCAACAAAACATTTATTAAAAAATAGTAATAAAAAATGAAAAGTGATTATATTTGTGTTTACCAAGGTTCTTTCAGGGAATCCCTGTACAGATATTTTACACCGATATCTTGTCTTTGAGAGAGAAATCATGGACATATTTTCACAATAAACAAGGGGGTTTTGTTGTTTGGTTTGGGTTTTTTTGTTTTGTTTTGGTTTTTTTTTTAAAAATTTTGTTTTGTTTTTTATTTTGTTTTGTTTTGGGGGTGGTGGCAGCATTTGGTTTGGTTTTTGGTTTTTTTGGTTGGTTTGGTGTTTTTTTGATTGGAGGGTGTGAGTCTTTTTTCCTTCCACACTTCTCTATTTCTTTGCTATTTTAAAAGCATTTATAACACAGGGTAAATTTTTCAAGCCAACTTCAAATTAACCCCCAAGAAAAAATGTGCACAAGAGGAAATAAAGCCAGAGTCTGAAAAAGTGGATGCTCAGTTCCTGGAGGGCTGGACATTCAAACAGTAAAAATATTCAGTGCCTCTCCAACAGCTAAAACTTCCAGATGTCAACATCCTGAAATTCAGATGATTTTTAAAAGCCATGTTTAAAAATGGTAGCAGATTATATTGCTGACCAGCTTGTGATTCACAATTCTGCTGAATTTAACATATAATGAGCTCCTTTAAAGAAAGCAAACAACTTCTCATGGTCACTGGCATCAATTAGGTTTCTCTGGTATGTTATCACTTTGGCTGGCATACATTTTGTGGAAAATAACTGTGGCTTCCCTAATTTTAAGGGGGAAAATAGCTGCTGACTTAGGGAACTGTACCACAGAAATAATGATATTTTTAGAACAGTTAGTGCTTTACAGTACTTCCACAAGTACCCAAAGTATACAGTTCTATTAGCTACCTTCTTTTTAAAATTTCAAAATGTCAAAAAGCTGTATCTTTTTCTGTACTGGAACATGAACTGAACATCCAGCTCAGATAGTGACTTTTTTTTCTAGTTTACTAGGAAAAAACCCACAAAAGCCCTAAAATGTTTTGATCAACAAAGGAGGGAGGGAAGAAGAGGAAGAGATATAATTCTTCAAGATTACATCTCTGTATAAAACCAAACCAAGAGCGAAACTTTATTTTGAGATGATGTCAAATTAAACTCGCACAGTTTTGCTTCTTTTTTTGCAGATGCATTATTCATCTTTATAACTGTATGCAATTCAAGTGCCTAATCTGTGTGTGAAAAGGCCATCACATACACAACTGACTAGGAGCACAAGTGTGACCGCTC